CTGACAAAAGATTAAAGGCATAACTTTTATTAATAGAGGCTTTTGTGGCAAAATAAAATAATTGGATTTTGCGTATTTTTTAGTGATAAGCCGTATATAACCTTTGGAACTTTAGTAGCATATTCCGCATTGTTATGCTGGCTTTGGTTTTATTTTCAGATGGCTTAAAAACGCCGTGGTACATTGGCACCACCTAGACATCATCTCTGTCTGCGGCTGTTTTCCTTCCCTGCGAAACCCCGAGCTCGCACCTCTCATTTGTAATAACCGCAACTTAGTTAACTAAACAAGCTGACAGCAGGCAGAAGGCGTGGCTCCCCGCCTCGGCTTGTAGCACTTTTTCACATCCCAACCCCTCGCAGCCGCTCCTTCTTGGGCTCCAAAATGTGCGCTGAAGGAAATTGCAAACAAAATTGCAACTTCCTGTCAGCGACAAAAACTTTTGCTTGTGGCGCCAATGTTGCCACTTCCGTTTAGACACCAACACATATCTAAATACACACCATACACTTGGCTTTTACCGCAAATTTGTATCTGTGTGGGTACTAAGTGCAGTCGGTTATTCATATGCAAACGCCACACTGCCGTTTTGCCATGTTTGGCAATCAAAATATTTCACTAAATTGCTCCGACTGCAGCACCCCCAGAACTAAAATATTAAATAACGCTTTTGCGCCAGGCCAACTTATTTGACAAAACGTGACCAAGCGCAAGAAAGATATTCAGCTTCTTCCGAATCCAAAAATGCAAAAAAAGAAACGCAAAAATATAAAAGCTTTTTCCTGATCCTGAAGGGGACCAGGCGAGAAAGTGTAAAATTAAATAACAAAAATAAGCAAACTGACCGCAGGGCCAGCTCTCCTCATCTTTGGGTTTCCAAAAAAGGAGCCTCCCCTCTTTTCCCACGGTTTACGACTTTTTTATTTGCCCGCAACATTTTTTATGATTTTTTCGGAGCTGCTTTCTGGGAGTCGCCTCAAAGTGTGCCGCATTTTGTTGTCTGTTCGATTTGACCAGAGATAACACCCAAAAGCACCTCTAGGCTCAGTTAGGCACTTCAAAGTTTCTTTCCTTCTCTGAACAAACAACCTGCCATGGCAAATACTATTAAAAATAATTTCATAAGATCTTAATAGTTTACTTTTTTGGGTGATTTTTTTAAACAGGGCTTACCCAAAATGAACAAAAATTCACTAAATTATAAAATATAGTCCTTAATAATAATTTAAATTTAAGACATTGTTATATTTTGAATAAAATAGTATATGAAAAGAACCAAAAATTTAAGTAATAAAAAGAAATATTTGGCAATTAAAGTCATTTCACTTATTCCTAGCCTATCCTCAACCATCCTATTTATAGGTGCTGCGTCGAAGCAAGTTCTATTTCAAGGATCTTCGACGTCTTCCGAAGTGTCAGTCGACTTATTTTTAATAAACGTAAGCTCGACGGTGACACAGAAATCTTGACACCTTTCGTTTCAACACGTGCGACTCCTACAATATTTATCAATGACGAAAGCGGCGGCAATAAAATGGAAGCCAAAAGTCAAACCATTCAAAGAAGCCAAAATCCACGCATTATTTTTTTTTTATTAAATATTTAATAATGCGTGCCAGGAGGAAGCACCTTTCGGCCGAGACTTCGAGGCCCCGGAGGTCGTCCCATGTCCTCGCATGCTAAAGTCTATGTACATATGTGTGTGCGTATTAGTGGCCAAATTATGATGAAACGTACTTGACGTAGAGCTTGAAATTGTGGTGCAGGGTGCACCCTGTACTTGTGTTCAGCAGGACATGCGTCGATGTTCGCTACCTTCGTATCCTGTGTATAGCAGGAGAAAAATCCGCTGAAAATAGAGAGAGCGCTCCCAACGAGCGAGAGCGGCCAAAAGCATCAGCTGAAGAGAGAAACCGGCTAAATGTTTCCAGCAACATTTCGTGTTGCCAGGCCGAGGCAGTAGAGATATGAGAATGAAAAAATTACGATTTTCAGCTGCTGCTCCTTTGGGGCCACGCTCGCCAATTGCTTTGGGCTTGGAGGGGAATCTCTTTTCGATTCGAAGGGATATACTTTGATCTTTGATTAATTGTTTGCCATCTAACATGACATACCATTTACAATGGCCACGTGCTCTTTAAATATTTATGTGGATATTTCAAATGCGAATCCAAACTGACTCCTGCCACATCCCTTCAGGCCAAGTCGGGACGAAACTGTGCAGACAGGCATAAATCATTTGCTCAAACAATCTGGGTGCCCCAAACAAAAAAGAATCAACACCAAAGGAACCAATTACAGAGAAACAACGAACAAGTGAGTCCCATGTAGTTAATCTTCTTTAGCTTCCAATTCCGGGTATCTGGAGAACATTATAAAGTTTCTTATGCTATATATTGCCAAACAAAAAAAAACCCATCAGCTTATTTAAAAAGTATTAAACTATTAATAAACAAATAAATTAAAAACATGCATTGTCATCTGTTTTATATTTTATATATGTATGTATTTTAACCCTTTAATTACTTCTATAGCCAGCTCTAGTTGATGCTGGCTGATTCCCTGAAACCTTTCATTTTCATTTCTCTTGGCTGCCGCTGTCCATTTTTGACAGCTCCTGCATCTGTTTTCATTTTAGCTTTCGATTTCGTTTCCTCCCACCTACCACCCACCACCCACCAACCACCATTTACTTGCCTCCCCCTGTCTCTCTCGTCTCGCTTCCCATCACTCCCTTCTGACCCGACTGTTTGTATCAATCTCCTGGCATGCCATCTCTGTCCGTCTGATGGAAATACCCATTAAATTTGATTTGGTCACGTTTTCAAGCTTTGTTCCACTTATGGCTCATTTTGATACATCCCAAGCGATCCGTGCAATCTCAGCCCCCTTTCTCCGGCGTCTCTCTGGCTTGTATCTCGCTCTATGCTGATGATAATAGACGCATAGCCATCATAAAATAATTGACGCCCCAAATGAATGCGGTTGCGGATGCTAAACAAGTCTTACCTCCTTCGATTTACCGCCAAAGACGCTAATACCATTGAGGACGTTCCATCTAAATGCTTTTGAAGTATAAAAATGGAGCTGCCTGTATCTGACATCCGATTGGACTTGTATTTTCAAACGGCTTACGCACCCCTTAGCTTAAATTTCTATATAAAACTACGAATTATTATAATATAAAGTTTAAAATATAAGCCCATTGTAAATTAAAACAAAACTTAGTTGATAAATGCTTACATTATTAATAATATTAGATGAAGAGTAGTTCGTGTAAAACGAGATTCTCGCCTAATGAGCTAGTCTTTTTTGACCAACATTATAAAATTGTTTCTAAGGTTAAAATAATACCAAGAAGCTTTGAAAATTATTTATTTTTCAAGAATCAACTTGAAACTTCAAGCTACAAGTCTCTCAGCAGTAAAGAAAAAATCTGAAAACCAGTTAAGGGTCCGCCGCGAAACTGGATGCATTCCTGCATATCAATTACACTCCAGTGTAGTTGAACCGCTTTTAAGCAGTCGACTGCAGTCGAAGGAAAAACGATCGCCAGAGTCAAAGATCCATCCGATCGAAAGATTAAAGATGCTGAATTGACAGCAGCAGCTGCGCAAACAAAAGAATTTATAAGCAGTTCCAGTTTATCGATCCGGATTGAGACAATGTCTTCAGGCGGAACCTGACTTAATAGCCAGCTTTGGGTCCTTAGGGGTCGGGCGAGAGAGTAAAATAAGTTCTGTCGGATATTGTCAAAGGATACCGCTGTCTCGCAGTTCTCTGCACCGTTTTGATGACATTTTCGATCCAGAAGCAAGTCGAGTTTGCCGAGGAAAAGCCTTTGAAGGAGTGGGTTGGTATTAACACATCAACGACAGCGGCATCTGAAAGTTTCTCCTGATGTTGCTCACTATTTTTCAATTTCCGTTTTGTGCATATGGAAACAGAATTGAATTTTAATTCCTTCGGCATGCCTAGCCGGCGTTGCAATTGACACATGACAAGGATGCTGACTGCTCCCGAAGAGGGGTGGGGTGTTTAAATTTCGAATTGAAATGTACGGACGAAAAATAAACGATGTGGCAGAAGAATACCAATTGATCAAATTCAAAATAAGGCAAGCACGAAAATTTCCGTAACAACATCATCATAAAAAGCGGTTTTACATCTACTATCTCACAACTAACACGGAAAAAGGATGGATAGGAATAAGGACCCAGGTCCCAGGAGTAGTTGTTGGACTCGTCGGTTTGGGGAATTCCCCACACACCGACACACAGTGTGTATATGCATCGATGTGACTCCGGGCGAACCGAGGCGAGCAATTTATGCGATGTATGCCAATGGATGAAACACAGCCAAACCAACAGACCAACAGACAGACGGACTCTCAGGCCGGAAAAATACAGAGTGAAGAGGATAGAGACTAAAATCTGCAAATCAAATTACAAAAATCATAGCGCACAATTTTCGCACGGCAAGTACACAGGGGAATTGTCACCCATCCTTTCGTTTCACTTCCCCCTCTCGGAGCAACTAAAACGAATCCAATCCAGCCCCAGACCATGGAGTGACCAACCGGCCGGCAAATAGTCACCCGTCAAATGATGTAATGAAATCAAACAGAAACTGAGGCAGAAGCTGGAGCTGAAGCAGCAGCAGAAACAGTAGCTGGGAGAGCCGGCCAACAGGGCCCCAAAGCATTTCAGCTGGCCATGTAAATAGATTTCACAGACAGCTTTGCTTGCAAAAATGTACCAAAAGTTGTAGAATTTAAACGATAATTTTAACAAAAATTAAACTATTTGCCCAAAAATGATTATTGTTTATGGTGAAGAAAGAAAGGCTTCCGAACTAAAAATCTAAATTCAATTTTTCCAAATAAGGGTATGATAAACCTATTATATTAACTTAAAAATTTTCAGCTTAACTTTAAATAAAATGATTGAAAATTAAAAAAATAAAAAAGTTTACCATATTTGCTCCTTTTCCTCCCTCAGCAGGCCTGACTGTACCAACATTTCCGGCCAATTTTGATGAACGACTAACTAGTGATGCCGTACTTTTTATTCCTGTCCCTGATCCTTTACTCTTCCCCCACTGGTACGTCCATGGCCACTCGCCAGTCTCCAGAGGACTCAACTCAACTCGGCCAATCTGCAAAAATTTGAATTTGAAATTTTTATTTATTTACTCTCCGATAGGAAAGCGACAGAGACGACAGGACCAGAAAAAGTGTAAAATGTGTATTGCCCAGTGAATGGTGTGTGGCTTAGAAAGGGTTTCCATGAGGTTTGGGTGGTGTAGTGTGACAATCCAAAAAAAAAATAAAATTAAAAAAGTAATGCTAAAACAAATGAATAGCGACATTTGAAATTGTTTGCAGGGTGCGCCAGTTGTCGGACAAATCGAATGTGCATTTTTATTTGCCACCAAGGCTTCAGTGGCCGTCCTAAATGGAATATATCTAAAATTTATATGCCGAATGTATTGGGTCAAATAAAATTGAATTGTTAAATATTTGAAATAAATGTACTTTCTGTGTACATTTCTGTGTTTTAATTGTTGTTTGATTTGGTTTTATTTTTGTTCAACGAATTAGTTCCATCGAGTGCGAATTTAATTCCCCAAATCCGCACAAAGAAAACGGTTACACAGATCCGACTGAATTAAAATGGGTTTGAATAATTTTACATTGTCATCAAGTATTCGTTGTTTCTAAAACTGTTTTATTTAAATGGTTTTGAGTGATGGTTTATTTAAAGGGTTTTGTATTTTTAACATGAATCTTTTCTATCATATTAATGGAATATTTTATCATGAAGGTACATTGGCCAAGTAAATAACTTCCAGCTTCGGAATCCTCTTTGCATTGCTGACTCCTGATCCCTGGAGACTTGAGACTGGAGCACGTTCCTCCGCCGCAAACAAGCACTCATTTCATATTGATAAGTAAAATTAATATTATTTTTCATTCAATTGCACCTGCTTCGCACACTCCACATTCAGGATTCCACTTCCCGAAAACACAACCCTACACGGCTCAGACCGCCAACGATGTGACGTCATGCCGGGTAACTTGCGCTAATTAAAATTCCCATTTAATTGGCATTGGCTGTTGTTTGTCTTCGACTCGATTGCAGCCGGAGTCGCAGAAGAGGGTGTTTAATTTTTTGCCACGCTCCGTGCTCTTTGGCGTAGTCAACTGCGGCTGGATATTTATTCAATTAAAATACGCATGGGGCAATGCCGGACCAAGGATGCCTGACAATCGCTCGGAACGACGACAGACGGACTTGCGTGAGTTTTTGGCGAGGAGCCGGGAAACCTGTCAGGCTCATTGATGCCATCCCGAAATCAATTTCATCGCATACAGCCAAAGTCTACCGACCACTAACGAACATATCTAGGTATATACACAATATGTCCAGGGTGCACAAATAAAAAATGGTGCAACATTTTGTGATTATTTCGATTAAATAAAAATTGTTTATATTTAATTTTTTGAGAGAACCCTATTATGAGAATATGGAGTTTTCTTATTATACCAATTTAAGCAAACATTAAAAAACCCCCAAATATTAATTGTAGTGTAAATTGTACATGTGCCTTTAAATTACATGGACACCAACACTTTGACACTTTATTAACTGACCGAGCTCGAAATATTCTTGACAGGCCACACACGCAGCCAATTGAGGGGGCGGAGAAGCAGGCTTGGAGGAGATTTCTGGGTTTCAGTATGGCCCATTAAATGGGCACATTAATTAGTTGGCATTGAATTGCATTGGCCAGCGTTGGCAGCTTTTCCCTGGGGTAATTTTCAGGCTGACCAGGGAAGACAAGCGGCAACGATCACAACTGCAGCAACGAGAAAACTTTTTCCGCAGACAAGGCCACCCAGCAGTACTGCAGCTAAAGTTCCTAGAGAAACAGTGGTAATTGACTAAGGATGACTGGTGCGGAGAAGAAAAAATCAATTAAATATGCTTTCGCGCACAATGGTCATTGTTTTGGTTGGGAAGCGTTCTCGGAGGTGGGTGGTTCAGTAGCAGCAGTGGCGGATTTAAGGAAAAAGGCCCAGTGGGCAAACATTTTTCAGGGTACATTGAAGGGTATTTTGAAGGGTACAGCCCAGAAAATTTGACAAAAAATCTTAAAAATATTTTGTTCCCAGATTTTGATGCAGATTTATGGAGAATCGGTCCACAAATCGCTTAAAGTATTCTGCTCAAGAATCGGATGAATATTTCCTAAGATATGGCCTTCGCAGTGGGTCATATGGGGCTCCCAATGCATTTTGCACATTTTGAAGGGGACAGCCCAGAAAATTTGACAAAAAATCTTAAAAATATTTTGTTCCCAGATTTTGATGCAGATTTATGAAGAATCGATCCACAAATTCGTTGTTTCTAAAACTGTTTTATTTAAATGGTTTTGAGTGATGGTTTATTTAAAGGGTTTTGTATTTTTAACATGAATCTTTTCAATCATATTAATGGAATATTTTATCATGAAGGTACATTGGCCAAGTAAATAACTTCCAGCTTCGGAATCCTCTTTGCATTGCTGACTCCTGATCCCTGGAGACTTGAGACTGGAGCACGTTCCTCCGCCGCAAACAAGCACTCATTTCATATTGATAAGTAAAATTAATATTATTTTTCATTCAATTGACCTGCTTCGCACACTCCACATTCAGGATTCCACTTCCCGAAAACACAACCCTACACGGCTCAGACCGCCAACGATGTGACGTCATGCCGGGTAACTTGCGCTAATTAAAATTCCCATTTAATTGGCATTGGCTGTTGTTTGTCTTCGACTCGATTGCAGCCGGAGTCGCGAGAGGGTGTTTAATTTTTGCCACGCTCCGTGCTCTTTGGCGTAGTCAACTGCGGCTGGATATTTATTCAATTAAAATACGCATGGGGCAATGCCGGACCAAGGATGCCGACAATCGCTCGAAACGACGACAGACGGACTTGCGTGAGTTTTTGGCGAGGAGCCGGGAAACCTGTCAGGCTCATTGATGCCATCCCGAAATCAATTTCATCGCATACAGCCAAAGTCTACCGACCACTAACGAACATATCTAGGTATATACACAATATGTCCAGGGTGCACAAATAAAAAATGGTGCAACATTTTGTGATTATTTTGATTAAATAAAAATTGTTTATATTTAATTATGAGAATATGGAGTTTTCTTATTATACCAATTTAAGCAAAAATTAAAAAACCCCCAAATATTAATTGTAGTGTAAATTGTACATGTGCCTTTAAATGACATGGACACCAACACTTTGACACTTTATTAACTGCTGAGCTCGAAATATTCTTGACAGGCCCACACGCAGCCAATTGAGGGGGCGGAGAAGCGGCTTGGGGAGATTTCTGGGTTTCAGTATGGCCCATTAAATGGGCACATTAATTAGTTGGCATTGAATTGCATTGGCCAGCGTCGGCAGCTTTTCCCTGGGGGTAATTTTCAGGCTGACCAGGGAAGACAAGCGGCAACGATCACAACTGCAGCAACGAGAAAACTTTTTCCGCAGACAAGGCCACCCAGCAGTACGCAGCTAAAGTTCCTAGAGAAACAGTGGTAATTGACTAAGGATGCTGGTGCGGAGAAGAAAAATCAATTAAATATGCTTTCGCGCACAATGGTCATTGTTTTGGTTGGGAAGCGTTCTCGGAGGTGGGTGGTTCAGTAGCAGCAGTAGCGGATTTAAGGAAAAAGGCCCAGTGGGCAAACATTTTTCAGGGTACATTGAAGGGTATTTTGAAGGGTACAGCCCAGAAAATTTGACAAAAAATCTTTAAAATATTTTGTTCCAGATTTTGATGCAGATTTATGAAGAATCGATCCACAAATCGTTTAAGGTATTCCGTTCAAGAATCGGATGAATATTTCCTAAGATATGGCCTTCGCAGTGGGTCATATGGGGCTCCCAATGCATTTTGCACATTTTGAAGGGGACAGCCCAGAAAATTTGACAAAAATCTTAAAAATATTTTGTTCCAGATTTTGATGCAGATTTATGAAGAATCGATCCACAAATCGTTTAAGGTATTCCTTTCAAGATTGGATGAATATTTCCTAAGATATGGTCTTCGGTGGGTCTATGGGGCTCCCATGCCTTTTGCACATTTTGAAGGGGACAGCCCAGAAAATTTGACAAAAATCTTAAAATATTTTGTTCCCAGATTTTGATGCAGATTTATGAAGAATCGATCCACAAATCGTTAAAGGTTTCCTTTCAGAATCGGATGAATATTTCCTAAGATATGGTCTTCGCAGTGGGTCATATGGGGCTCCCCTGCCTTTGCACATTTTGAAGGGGACAGCCAGAAAATTTGACAAAAATCTTAAAAATATTTTGTTCAGATTTTGATACAGATTTATGGAGAATCGATCCACAAATCGTTTAAAGTATTCCGCTCAAGAATCGGATAAATATTTCCTAAGATATGGCCTTCGCAGTGGGTCATATGGGGCTCCCCATGTATTTTGCACATTTTGAAGGGGACAGCCCAGAAAATTTGACAAAAAATCTTAAAAATATTTTGTTCCCAGATTTTGATGCAGATTTATGAAGAATCGATCCACAAATCGTTTAAGGTATTCCGTTCAAGAATCGGATGAATATTTCCTAAGATATGGCCTTCGCAGTGGGTCATATGGGGCTCCCCATGTATTTTGCACATTTTGAAGGGGACAGCCCAGAAAATTTGACAAAAAATCTTTAAAATATTTTGTTCCCAGATTTTGATGCAGATTTATGAAGAATCGATCCACAAATCGTTTAAGGTATTCCGTTCAAGAATCGGATGAATATTTCCTAAGATATGGCCTTCGCAGTGGGTCATATGGGGCTCCCCATGCATTTTGCACATTTTGAAGGGGACAGCCCAGAAAATTTGACAAAAAATCTTAAAAATATTTTGTTTCCAGATTTTGATGCAGATTTATGAAGAATCGATCCACAAATCGTTTAAGGTATTCCTTTCAAGAATCGGATGAATATTTCCTAAGATATGGTCTTCGCAGTGGGTCATATGGGGCTCCCCATGCCTTTTGCACATTTTGAAGGGGACAGCCCAGAAAATTTGACAAAAATCTTAAAATATTTTGTTCCCAGATTTTGATGCAGATTTATGAAGAATCGATCCACAAATCGTTAAAGGTATTCCTTTCAAGAATCGGATGAATATTTCCTAAGATATGGTCTTCGCAGTGGGTCATATGGGGCTCCCCATGCCTTTTGCACATTTTGAAGGGGACAGCCCAGAAAATTTGACAAAAAATCTTAAAAATATTTTGTTCCCAGATTTTGATGCAGATTTATGAAGAAACGATCCACAAATCGTTTAAGGTATTCCGTTCAGAATCGGATGAATATTTCCTAAGATATGGCCTTCGCAGTGGGTCATATGGGGCTCCCAATGCATTTTGCACATTTTGAAGGGGACAGCCCAGAAAATTT